TCAAGTGTGAACCCCATCCTAAGTTCAGAATTAACATCCCAGATAATCTTAAATTGCACTTCAAGGCCTACATCCACAGTGTTGTTGTCGTAACTCGTAAGGTGCAGTCATCCTGGCCGCTCACTGCATACAGCTTTGACATGCGGGATCAGGTCATACCCAAGTGAGTTGGTTATCTCCAACATCTGGCTGGCCATGGGGCGGTACTGTGTGTGACATTTGACAAAGAAAGAATCCTAAAGGGATGATGGATTAGTTGGAAGTGCATCCGTAAAAAAAATATATTTACTTTATACATTATGTTAATGTTTGGCAACTATGGTTTCCGTCACGACAAAATTCTCATTTGGCTGGGTCAGGGAGTGAAGCTCTGGTCACTACACTGAATATTATACTGTATATCACTATGTGTCAAAGAGTACATTATAAATCATACTAGCATAAAAATACACTTGAGTGAAGCTCTGCAAGTTTCACAATAACAAATTACACGAACCATCTATTTCAAGGCATAGCTTATAGGAGATCGACGGAACTCTCATGCCCATTGCCTTCTTCACACGGCTTCAACCACCACACCTCAAGTACAGTGCCTTTGATCGAGAACTCCTGGCAGATACCTTGCTGTCAAGCATTTCCAGCACTTCCTCGAGGCCCGTCAGTTCACCACCTTCACTGATCACAAGCCCCTCGTCCATGCCTTCGCTTCAGCCTCCCAGACACATACACTCTGCATCTTCCCACTTGGCTTAAATTTCGGAGGTTCACCAGCGACATCCAACACATAAAGGCAGCCAGAACGAGATCGCTAACCTCTCTTGTTGTATATCCAGCATTCTTCACCATCTCCACCCATGATTACAGACAGCTCGCCGTGGGCCCAAGAGAACGAACACCTTGCAGCATACAAGACATCTCCTCAGGTCTCGCCCCTTCAAGAACTCCCCGCTCCTGGCACGAACATCAAGTTGGGGACATGTCCTGTGGGCAGCCCTAGACCGTTCGTGCCTCACATCCACCGCGCGCCATCTTCGACCGCATCCATGGTCTCGCCACCAAAAGGGCCTCCAGCGCCTCCCTCACACGTGTCGCTCCCCGCATCAAGGCTGATACTAGAAATGGGCTGCCCAGTGCCTGGCCTGCCAGTCCTCTAAGATACATCAACACACACGGGCTCCCTTAGAAATCTTTCCTGTACCCAAAAGACACTTCCAGGTAGTGCACCTCGACATCGTGGGACCTCTTCCATCATCCAGCGGCAACACCTACATCTTCACCTGCATTGACCGTTTCATCAGGTGGACAGAAGCCATTCCCATGTCATCACTGACCGAGGAGCCCAGTTTGAGTCACAACTCAGGCATAGCCTCCTACAGTTCCTCGGCACTTCCAGGCAATCGCACTACCGCTACCCACCCTCAATCCAACGGCATGGTTGAGCGGTTTCCACGGCAGCTGAAGGATGCCATCAAGGCACAGCACAACCCTTACAGCTGACTTGACGCCACCCTTAGTGCTCCTGGCATCATGTATCACACAAGGAGGACATCGACTGCAGCAGATCTCACCTAGGTGAGCCCCTCGCCTACCGGGACTTTCACTTACTCCTGACCCAGATCACTTCACTCCTGCCGTCTGTCATCTACCTACCAAACTACGACAAGCAGTTTCTGCATTCCAAGCTACTGCCCCACGCTAGCCTTCCCGTTGCCCTGAACAAACCTCCCACTACTCAATGCTGAGTATGTTCGAGAAGCGCGATGCTCACCGCGAACCCTACTGACGGACCCTTCCAGGTTTTTGCACGGTCACGTGTTTTGATGATTATCCGCAATGACAGACACGACAACCGCCAGCGAGTTGAGTGAGCCCGCCACCTTACCTGCTGTGCCCCAGCCCAGCATTACCCCCAACAAACCACGCCACACCAGCCCGCAGTTACCACTTGCAGCACCACCTTGTCCACAACATTTCTGGGCACTCTCTTTTCATCCTCAGGTACCTATGGCTCCTGGACGGACCCTGCTCCTGTCGTGGACCCTGCTCCTGGAATGGACCCTGCTCCTGACGTGGACCCTGCTCCTGTCAGGACCCTGTTCCTGCTGTGTACCCTGCTCCTGACGTGGACCCTGCTCCTGACGTGGACCCTGCTCCTGTCGAGACCCTGCTCCTGGAATGGACCCTGCTCCTGACGTGGACCCTGCTCCTGTCGTGGACCCTGTTCCTGCTGTGTACCCTGCTCCTGACGTGGACCCTGCTCCTGTCATGGACCCTGCGCCTGACGTGGACCCTGCTCCTGATGTGGACCCTGCTCCTGACATGGACCCAGATACCCCAACCAGCGACCCTGAGGACTTTGCACCTGCCGCGAGAGAAGCATCACATTCCTCGCCTGTTCAGCTTTCTCTCATCTACAACCCTCCTCCCTCTGCTTCTCCCACAGGTTTTGTGTCACTAGACGGAGTCGTCACCCGTAGTGCCGAGTGGTCCACACCCCTGCCCGTTATGTCTCACATGTGGGATACAACCCTGCCGACAACAAGTCTCCTGCAGCATAAAGGTCCCTTCTTCGTAGTTGTCTCAGTTGTCAATGAATGGGACTGATATTGACTTGCAATATCCGTCAAGACGGCCGTTGACACCAACTGCCCTTGACAAACTCATTGCTAATTCTCCTTCGAGGCAGGACACCACATATGATAGGGATCCCTCTCTTAGTCCTAATACGATCTATAGCTGTCTTGAACTTATCAAGAAGCTCTTCACTCCTACACCGGCAGATATCATTGCCTCCTGGACTGAGGCAGATAATGGGTTAGGTTAGGCAAGGTTAAGTAAAGATTAGGTTAAGTAAAAAGTTAGGTAAGGTTAGGTAAAGATTAGGTTAAGTAAAAGGTTAGGTAAGGTTAGGTTACAAAAAGTTAGGTAAGGTTAGGTAAAGATTAGGTTAAGTAAAAGGTTAGGTAAAGATTAGGTTAAGTAAAAGGTTAGGTAAGGTTACGTTAGGATAAGGTACATTTCACTAATTTGCGAAAAAAAAAGCATGACTACTGATTGTATTAAACCAAAAACCTATGAAAAAAAATACTTTTTGTACGAAAAAATGTGATGTGTCTGTTATGCAATTTACTCTCTCTCTCTTGGTCAGTGGTTAACCATTATCCTCAAGTATTATTCAAACATAATTCCATCTTCACTAATGACGCTTGAAGTACGTCTAGCAACTATCACGTGAGCTTCCTTCTCTTGTGATTGGTTAGTGATTTTGTTAACCGGAGCGACGATTGGCCAACTAGCTCCTGCACTGCCATCTACCTTCGGACAAGAGAACTAAAATTGCAGGGTAAACACTAGAGTTACGGACTGTTTACGGGACTGTAATTAAATTTTGAGTGAAAAATTTACGGGATTGTAAGGAGTCTGTACGTTACGGTACTGTATCTCTGCTACTATACGTAACTGATGAGGTGTTTTGAGTTTGCAGCCCCTGAAGTACATGTTTTTCACAGTGCCATCAGCATCAGTAATGCAAAAAACGCATACAGTTCGGAAACACCGACATCACTCCATCGTCACATGTGTGGTGAGGGGTCAGAGCCAGGGTCAACATCACACGTGTACTGATAAAATTTGTTTGTCTCGGTACACAGTAAGTCCATAATTGCACCATCAAAGACCGCACAAAGATAATCTATCTCACGTGATTCCTCTGTACAAAGAAATTCAGGAGTAATTCCACCTGATGATCGTTTGAATTCAGGGAAATCAGGCTGAAAGTTACTGCTATCAGACCAAACAAAGGCATCCATTGTCCCTTGTCTGGGTCATGCTGGCGGGATACACCATTCTAGCTGGGCCTCGCTCCCCGTGTCCTCCTCTTCCTCACTGGTTGACACATCGTCTAGCTAGATGCTATCCTCTTGGTCACTAGGCTGATAATCACTACCTGCATCACCACTTTCACCAGAATCGACTACTACAACACTCAAATCAAAGAGTTGTCCTTATTTTGCTATCATCCAACCCAAGGTGACGATGCTTTATTGGGGCAGACACGAGAAGTTGAGGGGCCACTTACTTCCATGACCACGGGCGAATGGTTACTGACACGGCCTACCCACGCCCCCTCCGTGTTCCAGGAGAGAAAAATAGTCATGCTGGTACCTGTTAACCCGGGTTGGACTTTCAAACAGCGTGAAAGGGAAAAGGCTGCTCTGGAACGTCAACAGGGGCGTAGGAGTTAATTCATCCAATTTGACTATTTGACCCATTGAAGGTCCCGTGCTAGTCAGATAATCGGACTTTCACTGTGCCTGATCAGACAAATAGTGCCTCCACATAATAGTTACCATCAAGATAGCTATATAAGAAGGGAACCTTCTCCCAAAAGAGTTGGGGTAATCCAAACTGTAACATGACACAGCAAATAGTACCAGTGCATGAAATGGTGAATGAAGTCTTCTTAGCCCTATTGTATTGGATATCACATACAAATCTCATTTAGTTGGTTAATTTGTAACAGACTTAAACTCCCATCTCCTTCTTCAGCTATGCCACAGAATTGAATCCACACATTTTCAGTCAGCTACTCTACCACAGACTCCACCCTCCTCTCCAAATGCTTAGATATTCTGCCAAAGAACTGAGCCCACATTGTCATTGTTCAACCCTTGCCACAGAACTCAAACTACATCTCTTCAATCTAGAATTCTGCCACAGAACAAAATCCATATTTCATCACACAACTCCTCTGTCACAAACTCATACTGCATCTTTTCAGTCAACTATTCTGCATCAGAAATGACCCATATTTTACCAGTCAATTCCTCTGCCAAAGAATTCAATCCACAAATCATTTATCAACAACTCTATCACAGAACTGAGCTTACAACTGAAGGGTTAACAGTACAGAGATTGAACTCTATCCTATGGACCTATTTTACTCCACAGGAAGTGAACATAATGATAAAATTTGTACAGGTGAAATGACAAGAAAAAGATATGTTTAGGATCGCTTTGTATTTTTTATTTCATCCATTTGTCCATGGTGATAGTTAAAGAGACAATGTTTAATTAGAATATTCAAGATAACTGGAAGATAAACACATTTACTCAGAGTATTATACAAACTTTTCTCAAGGCCTACCTCCTCCATAGAACAATTCTCTAAAGGCAAACAAAAGAAAGAAAACCAGCCATTGTCACAAAAATACACTGGCTGACTCAAAAATACACTGAAATACAATTAGGTCAACCAGTTTACAATATATTTTAATAATGTTTCCCCTTACTGAAACTTGTGGATTAAAATGGCTAGAAACTAATATTGCAGGCGATCACCGCCTCCCTCTCCCTTTTGAGTACGCTTTCTCCTTCTCCTTCCTCTCCTTCCTTTAGATTTTTGTTTAACTCTGAAAGAAACATCATTTGTCAAGTTCTGAAGACGCAACTGTCAATACATGGTAATAAATCTCTGATCTTTTTATGGCCGAAAAACATCATTATCATATTGAAACCTTAAATGGCAAAGCAAGAGTTCCCTCGTTTGCTCCCATTTGTGCAAAATTTGGGACACGAGGGGTATGTAACATCCTTTGATGTTGGTTACTGTTCCTACAGCTAACATCCAGCATGGAATGGTAAGTGTTCATCTATTTTTTTATAACAAAGTTGTCAATTGTTGTTTGTGGGAATTTTAATAAGAGATAATATAATAAATTAATAATGACACTGAAATAAATATAAAATATAGAAAAGATAAAGAATATTGAAAATAAATAAAGAAAACAAAGAAATAATTAGAAAAGAATTAGCAAGTAAATAAGAAAATAAAAGATAATATGAGGCTCTCAAGCATTAGAAGGGGGTAAAGCGCCAAATTAAGGAGAAAAACGCGTTTAAAGTTTTTCAAAGTTCAAACAACCATAACTTTGTTGTTTTCAAGCTAGAGGGTTATTTTTTTATCGTGCACCTCATTACCTCTCCTAGCGAACTGTGAAAACTGGAAGTTAGTACTGTGAGTAGTTATAATTTTATCACGATTTAAATGAGAATAACTACCCATCATGTATGATTGTTTGATCTTCAAACCAACAATAATCGCTTTTTTCTGCAAAATTTTCTTATTACTGTGGGCTAATACTGTAAAATAAGTTAATGATCACCAAAAACCCCCACTAATCACACCCACACCCCATAACTCCAAAAAATGAAATAATAATAATAAAAAGCTAAATTGCCTCAGTATTTATCTTACCGTCCCTATTATTAGCCAAAGAATTATAATACTGTTTAGTATAATAGTGTGTAATAATATGAAACACCACTACACTGCCCCCCCCCCCCAACGTAATTACCATACGAATACAAAGGCGGAGAAAGTTTGCATAATCTTTGGTAAAATGAGTACAGTAAAGCCTTCAATAATGATGGTAATGTGTCCTCCAATATTGCAGTGTAGGTGAATCATTGTATCATGAATCATTAATTACCATTAAAATAAAGCAATAATAATGAGATACGTTCCCATTGTGACCTTTTCATAACTTTTATTTTTACCCTTTTCCCCAAAACAATACAATTAATGAAAAATGCAAACTATATTCTTTAAATGATATTTATGAATGTGCCTTATACATTATAAATCAATAATAATAAGATCACACAAGAGGAGATGGGACACTATTGTTGTTGTCGTGTTTACACCCATAATGTCAGTTATCCATCTGAAACAAGAAAATAAGATCCTGGTTGTTGTTGCAGTAAAATTAATGTAAAAAATGTGTATGTTTTAATTAATGTTATTTAATGTACAGTAAAAGTAACCATTGATGTTAAAGAAAAAATGAGAGACTATGGAACAGCAATGTATACTACCAAGGAAACCGTGTCATTTATGTTAAGGATATGTACAAAAGATTTATTATTGTTTATTACTGAATATGTATTTGATTGAATTAATGTTTACATACCATAAGGTGCATATAAGTCAACCTTTGTAGCCAAATTTTGAGTGTCCAAAGTTAGGGGGTCGACTTATAAATGCGTATAAAATGATGACCTCTAAAATCATGACCGTAAGTGAGAGTATTTCAGATTACAACCTTCATATTTACCGGTACCTTTAATATAATTGCTTTATTTCTATTATGGAGGAAATATTGTTTTTCTCAGTAGTTTTATTTAAACACCTTTTGTTATTGACGTGTGTGGACTGTAGAAAAGGAAGTCAACTGAGTTCAGTGTTGTTGTGGTAGTTGTTGGGTCAGTCACTAATGACGCTGTGTGTGACGTCATGTATAGAGTGGCTTGTTTGACTGTTTACCTGTTTATGTATGTGTTTTGATGGTTGACTTGGTCCTTCACAACACTTGACAGCTGCTGGAGTTAGAGTCGACTTATACGGTAGGTATACCCCTATGACCAGATTTTTTTTTGCTTGAAAAGGGGGGTCGGCTTATACGCCTCCATATACATTATGTGAAATGAACAATGCAATTCATTAATACGTAGAATATTAAAACACACAAGAAGAGACGAGACGGCATTGTTTTTGTTCATGTTTACAACACCCGTGATGATGGTTCTACTTCTACATAAGAAACTGAAGAAATAAAACCCTGGTTGTTGCTGTAGTAAAATTAATGAAAAAAAGTTGAATATGTATGTATTAAGTAATGTTATTTAATGTTAATAAATGGAACAATAGAAATAGCTAACAATTAATGGTAAAGAAAAAACAAAATAGATTGGGAACGCCATCGTATGTAAGTAAAAACATCATCATTTCTTCAAATATAAAAAGCACACACTTATTACTGTTCATATATGTTTGAAATAATACTTACTAATGTAAAACAAAAATTCTACTCACAAATGTCGGAAATGTCTAAAACATAAGGACAGTCAATGAATATTGTGCAAGTTTTTACTCAGATGACGAAGTCAATCAGATTCAACTCTGGCTGAAGCTGAAGCTTTCCATAAAGATGTCATAGCTGTTGCTGAAACTGTTAGTGAACCTGAAGTTGTTGCTGAAGCTGCTTATGATGCTGAATTTGATGGTTTAGGCCTTAAATAAAGTTGTCGAAAGAACCTTTCACAGCCGCCTTTTCCTTTGTTAATTTTAATGCTTCGTTCTGTTAATGGATTCACTTCAGAAAATAATATTATGTTCATTGCTTGCTCCATATAATATCCACAGACCTCTCACCTTTTTCATATCGTTTAACATCTAGTTTCTCGACTAAGCTTATACACTTTCTTTTAGATTTTGAACCAGCACTACCATCACTTGCTCTCTTGCTCATGTTGAATAGGGACTCAAAAATGCCATAAGAAGCCTGATTAAGTTTTTTCCTGTTCCTGTTCATGTGCATGAAAACAAAGGGACCGCCAAGCTCCAACTCTTGTTTAGTGGTGATGCTCATTACAACTCATTAGCCCAGCAGCTTCCCTTGCCTGGCAGCTTCTTTGCGCAAGGCGCTCTTTTTTTTTTTAATACATATTGGGATTTAGTTATTATTTATATGAAAATGTAATTTTATTTTATTTTTATTATATTTTTGCCGTAAATATTGAATAAAATAATGACAAATTGAATTGGGTCCTAAATTAACTAGGGTCTTAAATATGAATCGTCATTGGTCGAACCGTCATATCGGAGGCTTTACTGTATAATGATAATAGTATTACAATCTCACTTTGTTTAGTTCCTTCGTTTTATTATCCCTGAAGATCGTAGCAACTTGAAGTAACATAAATCCTGAGGAGTGCGCATAAATTTAATGGCCTCGTCATAATCAAATTACGATTACACTTGGCAACCTCCTGTGCCCACTCGTCAGCCTACGCTCTCTTATCCCGTTTTTTTTATAGGGCCTTGGCCCTTAGGGGGGTACACTCCTGATCCCTACAATCTGCATCACGTGGTGCTCCACTACCAACACTAGGCTCCCCAACATCACCAAGTAGCTGTCACCAACATTCTCATGCAAGTCACCTGCACCATCGCCAGTAGCACTTGTATCAATATAATCACCACTAAATTCACCACCAAAATCACTATCACCAAGACATTGGGGTGTCCATGTGAGCATTGTCGTCACTACACACACACTCAGGAATAATGGCCCTGAACCCACACCAGAAGGCCTGGCCTAACTCGAGTCTTGTTCTAATATTGGGCAGATATTGTACAGGACTTCTCACACTCAGGAACATGAATAACTTCAATGTTACGAAGGTTATAAAAAATAGCAGTAGAAAGTACACTGAACCTCCTTATGCTATACAACGTGCCAAAACTAACAAGGAGGCAGCATCTGGAGCTTTGACATAGCAAGGGAAATCCATTGTGATTGGCTGACTCAGAGGGTATGGTCCGTGAGGAGGGCGCTGCCATTGGCTCAGGCTCCTCTCACTCTGAACGGGATGTTGTCACTTTCATTTACTGAGCACACAGCCAGATACGTAGCTCCAGACCTGAGGCAAAATCACACCTTATATTTGAAGGACTTTCAACCATATTTCTATTCTAGCTAGAGGGTTACATCCAACACCAACATGTAGAGGAAGGGTGAAAATACTGTAGTGATATCCATAAAAAAAAAAAAAATCGTTTTGGCCGGCAGTGTCGCTTCATCCCCTTCTAATGCTGAGCGCCTCATAGAACCAAGGAAATTAATGAAAGTTATATAATTTTTAGTAACAGAAGAGAAATAATTTTTTTTTATTTAACACCCCTTACACTGGAAGACCAGGACAATCGGTTGACAGGTGGTCTCCCCCCCCTTTTAATCCAGATCTACGAGAGTTCACTGTACTTAAAATAATGTAAAAATGTACCACCCCTGGTCAGCAAATGATATTTGCGGATTTGGCAATTCGCAACCATTTTGTGAACCAATCTCTAGCCAATTTTAAGGGCGTACTGTACCTTAAACCTTATTCTTCTCACTCACATACATTTTAATTACCTTTATAAAAACTTCAGCATAAAAAAAATGGGCATGCCCAATCACCTATAAAATTTGATAAAAGGTCAGGACCATTATTAATCCTGAATACTGTACTGTACACAAGTTATTGCACCGTACAAGAGATGTCAAGGTAACTTACCGAAATTTTTATTCTTACCTATCTTCCTTGTCCTTCTCTTTCTTGCGCTGTGACTCTTCTTTGTCTTTGTCTCTTCTCCGTTCTGCTTTAATAACTTCTTCTGCATTTGTATTTCTAATGCCTAATCCTCCGCTGCCTTCTTCCTCCTGGTCACTGTCAGTAACCTCCCCATCTGACACCTGCAAGTCAACATCCACCATTTCTTTATTTTTCATCTATAGGTCCAGACAACATTTCTCTTTGGAATCTAGAAAGTCAAATTTTTTAAGCTGAAAAAACCCATAGAAAGTTGTATCCTAAACCTTGTTCTAATTAAAGGAGTATACTTTAATTTAAATGTGTCACTTGTCACCATGTATCTAAATAAGTGAAAATCAAACTAACTGACTACAGATACTGTATTTATTTCATAATGTCATACAATTTCTGCTTCCCAAGCCTACAAAAACATGATGAAAGAAATTAATGTACAGTACTGTAATGACATATACAGAAGGAGGAAATTTTTTATTGAATGTCAGTATATTGTGCAACTTGCATACTAATAGGCACATAAAATTATGGGAACCACTTTCACCTTAAGAGACTTCAGAAGTACCGTACAAGTGCATGCAAATTTTACTTCTAACTGGGGTCAACAACTATACACATCATAGTTCTAATGTGAACAGTCCCATTGAGCTTCACTAATTTCTAAACTGAAGGCCACACGCAGAAAAATGCTAGTGTAAAGCAGGCCTTACATCGGAAAATAAGAGCTGCGGCTAACCTGCTCGGTTTGAAATAGCTGTACAGGTATTACTGTAGGGTTATCATAATTTTGCATTTGTGAATATCGAGTAAGGATGTTAAAATAAAATTTGTGGATAAGCGGGTTATGAATATCGGGGTTCTAAATAACAAGGTATTCCTGTACAGTAGACCTTCGCCAACTGAGGATTTCCCATCCACGGATTCCGGGTATCCACGGCGTTTACCCTGAATATCATTTCACCGACCACAACATTGAATTTCGACTACAGTATCCTCTGTAAATGTGAGGAATGACTAAAAATAATACAATACTAATAAATAACATACAAGAAAAAATACTGTTTATTCTATTTAAGTTTTTGACCTTAAGATAATCTTTTCTTTTACTTGTTTTTGCAAATTTTGTATGAATAATACAGCTTGGCCTGGTAGGGGGAGAGCTAGGTGGGTGTAGTTACAGGGAAAGTCTAACTTGGCAACCTGCTAAGTCCACACACATACACACCCATTCTCTTCATTTTTTTTTTTACTTATAGAAAAATGCCATCTCCACGGAGATGTAAAAAAATTTATATTACTACAGTGCAGTATTTAATTGACAATATATTAAGCTATTTTATATGTACTTTACTCAAATTTAATTAAATGTACAATACAGTACAGGTACTGTTTAGAGAAGGAGCAGGTAACTTGATGCTTTGATGAGTGTTATCCATGGCACCTAATCCCCTATTTCTGATAAGCCTCTAGTCTTACCAACTGCAGATTTGCAAATCACAGGGTTTTTCAGGAATCTGACCCCCATGGTTGGCAAGGGATTACTGTATGTGTGTGTATACTTTATATATATAATATATATACAGTGATCCCTCGTTTAACGAACACCTCGGTTAACGTAATTTTGATTAACGAACTGCCTTCCATAAGGATCTTCAATTCGGTTAACGAAAAAAAATTCGGTTAACGGTTCTTCGAACCGACCTCAACATGTTTTCGCTTGCACTGATCGGGCAACCAGCTTTAGTATCAGTCCGCCAATACATTAATCGGTTCTAGTGCTTAAATTCCTTACTATTTTAGTAAATATCAAGAAGTTTATACTATTCAATAATTTTAAAAGTTTAATATTCAATTTTTTAGCCATT